CATCTGCGCTCTAGCCCACGGAGCGGCGCGAGCTGTTTTGCTGAGAAGTCGCGGCTGCTTCTCCTCCTAGGGAAGCACAGATGGACCGGAAGGCACAGGGCGTTCTCTGCCGTTTCTTCAGGGTTCTGGGTGAAGCCGTGGCACTCCTTCTCCGGCGTTCTTGCTTTGCAATGTCAGCAACTATTTCTAAAGAGTCACCCTCTGCAGGAAAAAGTCAGCCACCTTGCCACCTTCTGTGGAATTTAATTCAACCTACAAAGCTGGACATTTGTGGAAGTCAAATGTCACTCCTTCCCCATGGCTCTCTTACAACGGGTAGTTTGCACCGCCCTACCGAGTAACCTAGGCAAAAAGGATTTGCTACGTGTTGACTGAAAGGAAGGAATGCTCTGGAAGAAACATGCATTGGCGAAAAGTTCCAGGTTTAGGTACTCTTTTAAGCAAACATCAGATGGGAGGGGAAGAGAGGGAGATGTGAGTTAATTCACACGCAAAATGTTCAGAATCTTCCCATCTTTGTCACTCTAGTAGCCCCCACACTAATGGCTGCTGTCACCCGGTCCTTTTCTCCCTGTGAGGCTGTAAATCTACGCCACCAGCCCACCTGAGCTCCTGGTTTCTCGTCCTCTCACCCTCTCGCCTTTGGTTCTGTTGCCATGCAATTATTTTTTGTCATAATCAGAAATATAAATTTCCTGATGCCAATGTATTGTCAGAGTCCGGCAACGCCCCCTCCCAGGAACTGTCCTGCTCCTTGCTGGAGGGCAGAGGGACTGGAAAAGCCACATGGGCAGAACCAGAATTTCCTCATTTCCTCTTTAGCAGGAGAAAAAGAAGAAGGCTGGCAATATGCCTATTTTGATCATTTTCTAATGACCACAGTCTCATCCCTGGGTATACACGACTTTCTTCTAAAAAAAGCATAGGAAAATAATACAGCTTCTGCCTCTCAGAGGAGCCACTGGGCGCCAGGAGGGGATGAGCCCTGCAGTTCGTTCCAGAGATTCCATCAGGTAAAATGAAGCTTTTCTACTGAGGCCTTTAAAACATGAGCTGGAGATGAAAAAGAGACTTAGGAAGAAGTAAGGCTTTTAAGTCATTTAATACTACATTTAAAAGTTGTTTTGATGAACATTTCATAGGACTCGTACTTAAGGTTTGTAAGTTTAGTGATTTCATTGCTAAATGGCTTTAAGGATGGCAGAGTCCTTGGACCGCTGATGGGCAAGTGTCTCCAGGGCTGACTCCAAATCTCTGCGGCGCGGGCAGCGATGCTGCAGCTGCAGTTTAACATTTATGGGGCGCTTAGCTTGTGTCGGATGTGTCGAAGAACTTCATGTGTATCAGTTAATTTAATGTTCCTAACAACCCCATTTTGAAGGAACTTCTTGATTACCAGTTGACTGTCCCTAATCTGATCATCTGAAACCCAAAATGTTCCAAAATTAGTAGAAACTTTTTGAGTGCTGAAACGACACAGCTGGAAATGTTCGTGTGTGCCCTCACTGGGCAGGTGGTAGTCAGACACTGCAACCTGAGAACGCGTATGGAGCTGATGGCAGTGCAGTGATGAAATGGGATGCTCTTGGGGCCGGCAGGCAGCATTGCGGTGGGACACTGGGCTCCCACATGACTAAGTGTGGTTCAAGACCCGGACCTGGAGGGGTGTGCTTTCTCACTTTTCTTCTCTTTCTCGCTGTCTCTTTCAGCTATAATTAAAAAAAAAAAAAAAAAAAAAAAAAAAAGAAAGAATGTAGTGGTCATCCACAGTTTGAGTCCTACCCTCGGCACTTTGAAATGTGTGTGTGATGCCCGAAATGGTGAGAGGAGAATGGAGAAGGGTTTGTGGCATGACCATCTTCCCTGGGGGGTGATTTCTTGCTGTCTCTCTCTCCAGCAAGCAAAAATCTCTCAAGAACAGAAATGATAATAATGAATAAAATTAAATACATCTTAAAGAATTGCAATGCTCTGTGAAGCAATCCTACATGGGAAGATGTCCAGTTCAAGTCTGGAGACCTCTCTGAGTGTGTGGGGTACATGTTTGCTCATAACCCAGGCTGGTCTGGATTGCAACACTGAGATCGTAGTTGGAGTGCTCGCTTGCTCTTTCTTGATCATGAAACAAGTAGATGAATAAACTTAAAAAAGGACAAAATATTGTGTAAAGGTACTATATATACAAGGTGTATGTGGAACATAAATGAGTTTGTGTCTAGACTTGGGTCTTATTCCCAAGATATCTCATTATGTGCAAATATTCCTTACTAAAAATAAAATCCCAAATCTGAAACCCCAAGCATTTCAGGCAACACATGCTCAAACAATATTTTCACTCTTCTTGGAAGAGACTAGAGGCTCGCTGAGGTGGAGGAGCTGGCCTAAGCTCCCAAGCTAACGAGTGGGGAAGCCAGGATTCAGACAAGGGCATTCTGCTTCCAAAGCCGCATTCTTCTCTGCTGCGTTACTGTTTGGACCATTTTGTGCTACAGAAGTTGAGTTTTCTTTTTTAAAAGAATTATTTATTTGGGACTAGCAGATGGTATAACGGTTACATTGGTGGACTCCCATGTAGTCAAGCATGGTTCAAGTCTTGGACTCAACAGCTTAAAACTCATGCCAAGTGCACGTGTGTGTGCCCAAGATCCTGAGAGGAGAATGGAGGAGAAGGGATTGTGGCATGGCCATCCCCCTGAGGGATGATTTCTCTCTTGCTGTCTCTCTAGCGAGAGCACACACACTATAACAAAACAAAACAAACAAACAAAAAACTCTCTCTCTAAAAAAAGAATTATTTATTTAATTTAATTTATTTATTACTACTGCTATTATTACTCTTTTAACTTGCTATAGGGCATGCACATTCAACTGAGACACACACACACACACAGAAAGAGAGAGGACACACACACACAGAGAAAGGGAAGGCAAGTGAGCAAGCTGCTGGGTCTGGGACTTGAACTGCAGTCAGCCATGTGGGAATATAGCGCCTTAACCACCACACAACTTGCTGACCCCCAGAGGTTGAGTTTTTATTGCAGTCTGGGATAGCCTGACTGTACACCTTCCTCCCTCATTGCTTTCCCAAATAACCAAAATTAGGGTTCCTATGCTACACATGAGTTGAGCCCCACCTGCCCTGATGCTGGCCAGACCAGATGGCCAGAGAAACATTTAACTTACCTCCAGGCATGCTCACGCTCTCAGCCATGGCTTCCCACCACCAAAGGGGCTTCTTTGGAGAACTCAAAGAAATGTCAAGGTTAGTGCTCACATAACTCTTCCTGAGCTTGGGCTGGCTTCATTTAACTGTCACATTCATTTGTTTTGTACTGTCCACCAGGGGTCAAAGACTCAGATGCAGGAACACGGTCTAGTGACATGCACTGGGTGCCAAGAAGCTCGTATTGACCAAGCACAACCTGCGCCTAGCTCTGCTGTCTTTCATGAACGGCCAACAGAACTTAGCCTCGGGCTGCCTTGGGTAGGCTGGCAGCCAGCGTGCCACCTCTGCTACGCATTTATCTCTATTAGTAACACAGACTGGAAAGCTGCCATGGCTTCTGATGTCAGATAATGTACCGTCCAACGACACATTAATAAATAAGGGCAGAAAGAAGAATCACAGCTTTTGGCCTATCTGAGGCAGACAGACGATGGCCCTTAAGGAATCCAGTTTCTGTACGAATCAAATAAATGTCTGCAGAATGATGGTTAGCAGTTCAGACCTGAGCTGCTGCTCTTTTGTGCCCAGCAAAGCACTAGGCAAACACAATTAAAAACATGAAAGAAGTAAAAAATACTGTTATCGGTTCTAGAGCTGCTTGCAACACACGGAAATCACTAATGAGCAGGGGATCCATGGACACATTTAAGTGAGGGACAAAGCGTGCGGTTCAGACGTGCACTAGAGGGGGTTCGTATTGCAGAAGGACGACTGGGTCGAGCGGAGGGGGTCTACGTGGCTATTTCACAGCTCCTCACCCACCTCCCGGGAGTACAGTGTCAGTCCACGCGTGCCATACTCAAAGTCTTGGCGTAGCTGTCAGGATGGAGTCAGAATCTGACCAGCGGTATTTGGCTACGTCGACTTCGGATTCACAGATGGGTGTCACGATCAGCAGTGGGAATGGAATAAGGCCTCTAGGGGGTGTCTTCGCCACTTGGGTCATTGCTCATGCTTGGACTTGAAATAGCCACAAACATGGCATGACCCAATTTCTTTCTTCCTTCTTTCCCTCCTTCCTTCGGTCAGTCAATATGTAATTAGACATTGCTATTCTACGTTCTATGCCAGAGCCATGAGCGATTTCAGATGCCGGGTAGAGCAAGCTCAGGGTTTGGTGTCGGGAAATGACGGTTATAATCCTGGCTCCGTTATTTACAGGGAAGCAGAATGAAAGTCAATGTTTACGTACCGGTGGCTTAGAGTCCACGTTTATGAATGATGGTTACCTACATCTGTTGTTTATAAACTGCTCTGTGGAGTTCCGTGGTTCCTTTCTCAGGGTTGCCTGGTGATAGTCTAAAACCCTGGTTCTCACCCAGGGCCAGTTTGGCTCCCTCCTCACTGGTGACCAGAGGGCATTTGGTAATGTCTGGCACCTGTGGGGGCGGGGCAATGTTTGCTACTGGCACCTAGTGGTGAGGTCAGGGGTGTTGTAAACATTCTGCGGTGCACAAGGCAGTCCGACCACAGAGAGCTACAGATGCGAACTCTCAGGAGTCCCCGGTTGAGAACTACCGTGGGAGTAGACACATACGAGGTTGAGCTAACAGGTTCTGGGTCCTTTGGTCCATTGACAACAAAGTAGATCCACATGTATTTTCTGAGTGTAGAGGCATGCATTAAATTTGGTAGGAAATAAACTAAAATGCAAAAACTTTACTGTAATTGAATTTAACACATCTTAATCTCCCCACTATAGCTCTCAGTAGATTCAGAATTTATTTGTAGCTCTTTCTTTCATATAAAAATTAAAAAATAAATATTTCTTTTACAGGGGAAAGCGCAAACGCAGTCCGCCACTACCACAAATGATGCAGTCGCGTTTCCCACATTTGGGGAAGTCGCAGGGCTCAGCACATCCGGAGTGCAATGGGTAAGTCTCGCTCTGGGAGAACCACCTTCATGACCATGCTGTGTCCCTTGCCAGGTAAGCATTATTTGTAGCTATTTCAAGGTTCTGGGCCTTTCTTCTCCTTCTCTTCCCATTTAAATCTACCTCTGTGTCTCCTAAACACCAAACCAGCACTGAGGGGAAGCAGAAGTCTAGTCTACTGTCACTCTTGGTCCTACACTCTTGTTTGCACCCCTCTCTGTTGGTCCTCGGTCATTAATGAAAAAAAAAATGCATTAAGCTTTATTTATTTATTTACTTATTTATTTAGAGAGTAGCATCCCCAACAGGGTCTTCACACCACGACATACCCCTTGGTCTCAGCCTGCCTGGACCTGGATCGCAGGTACATGTGCGCCTACCCAGTGTGCCAGGGGTGTGAACCCAGCACCTTCCCTGTGTGGGTCCAGTTGTGTTATGACCACACCATTGTCTGTCACCAGGTTTTACCCTTGCTTCTCTTTCTCTGACCAGCCATAATCAACTCGTGGCTCTCCCTGCATGGGTAGCAGCAGCTCCAAGCACAACTGAAATGACACTGCTGGCTCACTCGCCACCACCTGCATCCTGTTTGGGGTCACAGAAAGGTTTCTGACCTGCTCCTTACCTCTCAGGGCTGTGGAGCCTCAGGCAAGGGCTTTCTCAGACTGTCTTCTCTGACCCCTCGCTGTTGTCCCATCCTGGAGGCGCTCCTTTCTGAGGCTCCCTGGTACCCCTGATGGGAGTCTGAGAAGTGGGGCATGCATCTTCCTTGCTCTTAGACCCCCCCCCAACTCTGCCTGACTCTGCGTGCACAGCGCCCATTCTGTTATCTTCTTCACTACCCTCCCAATCTCGGATGCTGAAATTTAGCTTTTTAAGAGTGGAAAATGGCTTTTACATAATCTGGCAATCTTTCTAACCTTATTGTGTATAAGTATAAAATTAATGCTTATTTCTTATCAAACTGCCATTTCAATAAATGTTCTGTTCTTCCTCAATACTGGCTCTTGAAATAGCAAAACTTTGCCCTCTAAGCTATTGACTCTGCCATGAGTTTCAAAACCCTAAATCTAAGAATCGACTTCTCTGTAATCCAGCAGAGTTTGGCCTTCCCTAGCGGTAGGAATGCCAGGCTCAGTAGGAGGTGGGTTCCAGGATGAGCAGCCATAGTTTCCACGTGGTTTAGAATGCGGTCTGCTGCTAATGAGAAGGAAAGAGGGAAGGAAAGGCAGAAAGGCTCGATGGTTTCTGTTTCTCCTTCATCACAAAGTGATCTGACGGTGTGAAAAGCTGAGGTCCGCGGTGTACGCTTTCCCTTTATTGACGTGTAATTTTCCTCCCACGGAAAGGGAGGCTTCCGAAGTTCCCATAAGGAATAAAGGAGAGCCACACTTAATTTTGCCTTTGAAGCTCATTATTAAAGGGAAAATGGAATCGGATAGTTTAAAACATTTTATGCAAACATTTGGCTAGACACTACTCATGTACTCTTCCTACCCAGAGTACTGACTTTCAGATAAACATACATTTTCAAAGACATAGCAAAACTCTTCCCTAGTGGGAAAAGTAGTAAGCATAGTGACCAGATTGGGGAATTGGAGTACCTGTCTGTCATCTGCCTATCAGCTGTCTAGATATAGGTAAGACTCAGACTTAATTTGCCAGTGGCAGGACAAGGCATCGTGTATCATTTATTCACTCGCAGAGTGTTTATGGAGTGTCTGCCCCATGAATAAACCCTTTGACCTATTCTACTACTTAAAAGACTGGGCCCTGCTCCTGCTGGTCATTCACTAATCCTATGAGTGTGAAGAAAGCACTTGCTCTGTTTATGAGGCTGCAGTCTCTTATCTTCAAAATGGAAGCTTTTCCTGTGGTTCTATTTCAGTGGTTCAAAGAAATCTGTACTGTTTTCTGCCACAAGCCACTCCTGGAATAGAAAGCTTTCTTAGACTCTAATGTGCACATGGGTGTAATTCCCACGTTCAATGATTTCAGCTGCCTATGATTAAATACTCAATCAGTCCTGTTTCACCTACATTATCTTATTTAGCAATCATTACCCAATAAACTGCACAACAAATAACAGTTACCGATCTAACGGATGCAAACCATTGGCAACCCGAGAACTAAGATCCATTTGAACTATAAACAAATTTTCTGTATTCCAGATAAAGTCTAAACTATAACATGTGAATTTTTATCCAAAGTACCCACAACAGATAAGACATTTTAGCTGAAAACAGAGGAAAACCAATCCTATTCTCCCTTTTCTTTCCATCTAAGTCCCTGAGAGTGGACAAAAATTAACCAGTGGAGGTCATGTTGAAAGCTAAGATGTTTATCTGGGGGGTCAGGTTTCTGATTAAAGACTGAACATTGAGTTTTAGTCAGGACAACATTCGGGGAAACACAGCTCTTCAGTCACGTTGCATCTGCTGCTGGAGTCATTTATTATGAGTGTCCATTCACTTAAAAGAAGATGTAGGTAATTAGATTTTCAAGTCCAAGCTTTGCTCTCTGGTGGGAGCTAACATTTCAGACTGAAAGGGCTCTTGGAAGGACACATTTTTATGGGGATTACCATAGAAGTACCAAGTTAAAAATCACCTACCTGCCATTGCTGAACCTCCAGGCACACTCCCAGAGGCATCCCTGAAGATTCTGTCTCTAACAGTGTCTGTATTTCTAGCTGGTCTTGAAACATTAACTGCTTTGCTATGGATGCTCAGCGATAGTTCTCTGGGCTCACGGGTTACATTTACCTCTGAATTAGAGGAGCTGATAACTCTGCTATCACTGACTGCAAGACTCGTTTTCCCCACAGTTCTGTTTAAGATAAGACTGTGCTTGCATCCTGGAGTCCAGAGAGCATATCCATGTGTGTAAAAGTGTGCATTTGCACCCATGATTGTGAGGTAAAAATCACGTACGTGCCACGTAGGCGTGGCTATGGATCCCAGCCTTGTGCCCCCTTCCACCCGAGAGATTGATTACTGTCTTGGACTGTGCACCCTGGCCCCAGCTCTGCCTCCACCCTGGGTTATTACGTGCCACTGGGTAAAGTTTTCGCCTAGCCTATCCTTCCTTGCCAGGGTGAGGTCATAGTGAAGATGGTGGTGGGCTTCAAAGCAGTTCCTCTTCGACAGCATAAACTAACAGCCGAGCCTACTGTGTCTTCTCTAAATGTAGACAAGCTAGGCTGTTTGCCCCTTAAAAACTCACATGGCTTAAAATGAATAAGAGTAACCCTGCTGGGTGTCGCTGTCATCGGAAATTTCATTTGAGGCAGGCAGTGCTGTGGTGTTCCTGTGATTACGGATTCAATATTGGCTGCAGTTGCATCTAGATCCTTATCAGCTAGCTGTTTTGTAGGTGAGAAATATCATACCTGGCCAGATCCCTGAGCTGTTTCTGTTTTCCATTTCCTGTCTTCAGGAGCTCTCTGAATGCCCCAGCATCCCAAAGTAGCACAATCCAGAATCGTCTTTTGAACTAATCAGATGGAATCTCTAAAAGGATCTGACTGGCAGTTTTTTCCTTCCAAAATATTCGCTTTTTCAGAAAAAGCCGGAGCAGAGTGCACGGCTCAGTTGAAGTGTATTGGGATCTGGTTAACGAAGAGAGGCCGTTGGTCTGTGCATTTTCAGTTGTGAAAAGAGGAAATTAATAGAAGACGGAGATAATTCTGGCTGCTGTGGAAGCGGAGTCTGCTCCCAGTCCAGGTCTGACTGCCTCCCGCTGAGGTTTACCCAGCAAAGTAAAGCCAGCTGCCTGGCTGTCTGGGCTTTTTTGCAGAGGCCTGTCACAATACAATGTGATGAAGATGTATCAAAGCAGCACCCGCCCCCACAGGTTAAACTATTCTAATACTCTGTATCTCTGTCGCACCTGGCTCCGGGGACCTCCAGAGCCAGCACGGCATTACTCCCTGATGACGTTTCAAAAGCCCTGCAGTGACTGGGTGACTGCACAAATCCAGACATAACTGCACGCTCCCAGTGCGGGGGCGGCCCAGGACTTGGAAATGCAGCCCGAGTTGGAGGTTTAAGTGCACTGCTGCAGGTTGGGTTAAAGGCAAGGAGGCCTGGACTAGCCAGCAGGAAGGGCCTTATCTCCAGAGCAACACTACCTGTAAAATCAGCTCGAGAATACCCCGTGTAACATTAAAACAAACAAACACAAAGGCACTGGGACTTGTGGATTTTTACTAAGATAAAATAAGAGGGCAGTTACCAGAGGACAGTGATAACTGGACTGATCCAGGGTCTGTTTCCTGGGTGTCAGTGGCTCATTAAAACATAGTAAAGACTATGCCTACTCAAATCTGTGTCGTGCCCTGGCTCCACTCGTGGGAGGAACTAGCAGAGGCAGGGGAAATGTGTGGCCAAGGGGGCGTCCTCCGTACCTGGGCTGTCTGGAGCTGGCGGACCTCTCAGTTCAGCAATTTAGCACATTCATGGGGAGAGATGGAACACACCTCTAGGTCCAAGGGCTGGGCCTTGCATTTTTCCCCCTGGATTTTCTGGTGGTGTCAGTGTTTTCACTGGCTGTGCTATGGAGCATGTGGGATCCTCAGAGCTCAGAGAAACATGTGGTCTTGATTTCCACTGAATAATGTCTCCAGTGTAGAGGCTTATTTATAAAACAAACTGCCCCACTCCTCTTGCCATCTTCCCGGTCCACCCGTACCTTGACTTGACATTTATAGGTAGAATTATAATCATCTTATTTTCTATGTGATAAAACCCAACAAAACTCTCAAGGAACTGCTTTTTTTTTTTTATATATTAAATGAGGTGCCATTACTTTATGCCATTACATAAAGTGTCATTGCTGTCAAAATGGAGGAAAGAAAAAATGAATAACTTGGGGTCACCATGACAAGTGTAGGGATATTTCAGTTCTTTTTCTCTCATACTGAGAAGGAATGAAAGTATAATAGACCCAGGACCACATTAGAACTAGGCAGTTAGGACCCTCACCCCAGGCTCCCTGCTTTAGTGGGGCTCTGTCTCATCTTCCTCTGGCTACTCCACCTGCCATGGGCAGAGGAGTCCCT